ACACAGATACTGCCTGCCTGTCTGTGTCTTTTCGCAGAGAAATAAACATCCGCCCTCCAAGGAAACCACCGCATAAAAGGGCACGTGCGTAAGACGAAGGGAGAGAGACACGGCAGACAGGCCAAGACCACTCATGCCCGTGCTTCCCTCCTGACGAAATCGCTGACGATATCTTCCCGCACTCTACGCCGCCACACTCGCCAATCCGGCTCGTCTACCTCGCCAAGTCTTCACGAACCCTCGTCAGCACAACCTTGGAGTCGCCATTCTACTCAGCACCACCAATACTTCCTTGCTACTGTTAAAAGTGAGTGTACCTATCAATGCTAGATTAACTATTGCCCTCCCTTTACCCACCTACATATTGCATACAAGTTGCCTTCTTTCAAATTCAAATACATGCCACTCACTACATAACATCTCGCTGTCAACCATTGTTTTTTCAACACAACAAACGAGTTGATTTTATGCCGGCTCATAGCCATAAACGAAGGAATCCTGCACCCGACACACACTCATATGATTGAAACGCTGAGACGCGCACTCTTAGCATTAAGTTCAGGCCCAGCTGCCTATATGTTCGAAGCGTAATTACTTGCCTATTTAGCCCAAAAATATGGAATTCCCATTCATTTTTTTTCTCTTCAATATGATGGTACTCAACTGAACTCGCTAATCCTGATAAATCCAAGTAATTAACACCCACTTACTCGACACATTACTGTTCTTGCGACAAAATTGCTCTTATGCTCTCATTTTTTTCTTGGAACTTAGTAAGGTGGTTGATAAACACATTATTATCCTCGTCCTTAGCCCTTTTACTGGCCTGATACACTTATATTTCAGCTTCTGAAGATGATTGACCCTCCCCGCTTCTGAATGTTGCACCTCAGTGCGAAAGCTCCGCCACACCCGCTACCCTGGCATGCGACAACCCTAGCGACCATCGGATCACCAGGAACCATCTGTAGATAGCGAACAGAACCTGTATCCCTATGTGCAGTGTTTCAAGCGTTGCAGACGGCTCGAGGACGAGCCTTACACATGGCCGAGCGATGTGAACAATATGTAGCAAGTCCGGATGGCAGACTTCACACCTCCGTCCAAGCAGCTGCCCTTCTCCTTGGGCAGGACACAGATACTGCCTGCCTGTCTGTGTCTTTTCGCAGAGAAATAAACATCCGCCCTCCAAGGAAACCACCGCATAAAAGGGCACGTGCGTAAGACGAAGGGAGAGAGACACGGCAGACAGGCCAAGACCACTCATGCCCGTGCTTCCCTCCTGACGAAATCGCTGACGATATCTTCCCGCACTCTACGCCGCCACACTCGCCAATCCGGCTCGTCTACCTCGCCAAGTCTTCACGAACCCTCGTCAGCACAACCTTGGAGTCGCCATTCTACTCAGCACCACCAATACTTCCTTGCTACTGTTAAAAGTGAGTGTACCTATCAATGCTAGATTAACTATTGCCCTCCCTTTACCCACCTACATATTGCATACAAGTTGCCTTCTTTCAAATTCAAATACATGCCACTCAACGAACACTAACTACTAACTGTATACTACATAACATCTCGCTGTCAACCATTGTTTTTTCAACACAACAAACGAGTTGATTTTATGCCGGCTCATAGCCATAAACGAAGGAATCCTGCACCCGACACACACTCATATGATTGAAACGCTGAGACGCGCACTCTTAGCATTAAGTTCAGGCCCAGCTGCCTATATGTTCGAAGCGTAATTACTTGCCTATTTAGCCCAAAAATATGGAATTCCCATTCATTTTTTTTCTCTTCAATATGATGGTACTCAACTGAACTCGCTAATCCTGATAAATCCAAGTAATTAACACCCACTTACTCGACACATTACTGTTCTTGCGACAAAATTGCTCTTATGCTCTCATTTTTTTCTTGGAACTTAGTAAGGTGGTTGATAAACACATTATTATCCTCGTCCTTAGCCCTTTTACTGGCCTGATACACTTATATTTCAGCTTCTGAAGATGATTGACCCTCCCCGCTTCTGAATGTTGCACCTCAGTGCGAAAGCTCCGCCACACCCGCTACCCTGGCATGCGACAACCCTAGCGACCATCGGATCACCAGGAACCATCTGTAGATAGCGAACAGAACCTGTATCCCTATGTGCAGTGTTTCAAGCGTTGCAGACGGCTCGAGGACGAGCCTTACACATGGCCGAGCGATGTGAACAATATGTAGCAAGTCCGGATGGCAGACTTCACACCTCCGTCCAAGCAGCTGCCCTTCTCCTTGGGCAGGACACAGATACTGCCTGCCTGTCTGTGTCTTTTCGCAGAGAAATAAACATCCGCCCTCCAAGGAAACCACCGCATAAAAGGGCACGTGCGTAAGACGAAGGGAGAGAGACACGGCAGACAGGCCAAGACCACTCATGCCCGTGCTTCCCTCCTGACGAAATCGCTGACGATATCTTCCCGCACTCTACGCCGCCACACTCGCCAATCCGGCTCGTCTACCTCGCCAAGTCTTCACGAACCCTCGTCAGCACAACCTTGGAGTCGCCATTCTACTCAGCACCACCAATACTTCCTTGCTACTGTTAAAAGTGAGTGTACCTATCAATGCTAGATTAACTATTGCCCTCCCTTTACCCACCTACATATTGCATACAAGTTGCCTTCTTTCAAATTCAAATACATGCCACTCAACGAACACTAACTACTAACTGTATACTACATAACATCTCGCTGTCAACCATTGTTTTTTCAACACAACAAACGAGTTGATTTTGTGCCGGCTCATAGCCATAAACGAAGGAATCCTGCACCCGACACACACTCATATGATTGAAACGCTGAGACGCGCACTCTTAGCATTAAGTTCAGGCCCAGCTGCCTATATGTTCGAAGCGTAATTACTTGCCTATTTAGCCCAAAAATATGGAATTCCCATTCATTTTTTTTCTCTTCAATATGATGGTACTCAACTGAACTCGCTAATCCTGATAAATCCAAGTAATTAACACCCACTTACTCGACACATTACTGTTCTTGCGACAAAATTGCTCTTATGCTCTCATTTTTTTCTTGGAACTTAGTAAGGTGGTTGATAAACACATTATTATCCTCGTCCTTAGCCCTTTTACTGGCCTGATACACTTATATTTCAGCTTCTGAAGATGATTGACCCTCCCCGCTTCTGAATGTTGCACCTCAGTGCGAAAGCTCCGCCACACCCGCTACCCTGGCATGCGACAACCCTAGCGACCATCGGATCACCAGGAACCATCTGTAGATAGCGAACAGAACCTGTATCCCTATGTGCAGTGTTTCAAGCGTTGCAGACGGCTCGAGGACGAGCCTTACACATGGCCGAGCGATGTGAACAATATGTAGCAAGTCCGGATGGCAGACTTCACACCTCCGTCCAAGCAGCTGCCCTTCTCCTTGGGCAGGACACAGATACTGCCTGCCTGTCTGTGTCTTTTCGCAGAGAAATAAACATCCGCCCTCCAAGGAAACCACCGCATAAAAGGGCACGTGCGTAAGACGAAGGGAGAGAGACACGGCAGACAGGCCAAGACCACTCATGCCCGTGCTTCCCTCCTGACGAAATCGCTGACGATATCTTCCCGCACTCTACGCCGCCACACTCGCCAATCCGGCTCGTCTACCTCGCCAAGTCTTCACGAACCCTCGTCAGCACAACCTTGGAGTCGCCATTCTACTCAGCACCACCAATACTTCCTTGCTACTGTTAAAAGTGAGTGTACCTATCAATGCTAGATTAACTATTGCCCTCCCTTTACCCACCTACATATTGCATACAAGTTGCCTTCTTTCATATTCAAGTACATGCCACTCAACGAACACAAACTACTAACTATATACTACATAACATCTTGCTGTCAACCATTGTTTTTTTAACACAACAAACGAAGTTACAAACTGAGATGAAACCCAAGTGACACACACCACACCTCACACCTCATCCCCCTTTCCTAACGATATTTTAATTGTTATGATATTTTTCTGCTATTGAACCCAGCCATCGGGGGAGCAAGCCAGCTCAATTCAGTGCCGGTCCCAAGCCCGGATGAATGGGGAGGGTTAGCGGCAGGAAGGGCATCCGGCTGTAAAACTCTGCCAAAACCCCAAAATGGAAA